ATAGATAAAAAGAATCACTTTTTTCTCACATAAGGTGAGGAAGGAATGAAGCTTGAGTTGGAAGAAGGAATAGTGAATGAAGCACATTTTCTCAAAGGGTAAACATCACTTGAGTTAACAACATCAATGTCACTCTCATCTGTATGGTGGTCTGAGTGTGCGAACAATTCAATAGTTTTTTTACAAGGGGCAATATCTGAAGGAGTTTTTATACGAATATGTGCTATTGTGTTGGGAGGAAGGGGAGGAATGTGAGCAATGACAATGGAATCACATGCTTGGACATTATTAGGTAGAACAGTGCCATCACAGCCTCTACTCGATAAACATGCATAAGGGTCAAAATCATGAGGGGCAGTGTAAAATGCAGTACGCTCACAAAATATATCAGTCTGTGTGGTAGAAGCCACACCAAGACATGTAGCTTCATGTTCTGTTTCCCCACTACCTTTTCCTTTCTTCTCTAAATACTGCATTGAGGAAATTTTTTGAAGAGATCTAGCACAAACAGGTACTCTAGTGTCATGTGTTCCTTTCTCCAATGACTTCTGAGAGAATTCTTGGTTGTTGTCAAAACAAATGCTCCTTGGCATATTATCATTCAAAATTTCTGAAGTAAGATCCAAATTATCATGTTTCATCAGATTTTCACCACATTCCATGTAATGAAATTTATTTCTGGACTGGCTTCTTCCTTTGTATTTATTGGAGCAAAACTTGCTCTTAGTTTTAGTTTTTGAGGATTCCTCAACATGTGTTGGCTCAGATTTGGATTTAACAAAATACTGCGAACCAGGAAGAACATGCACTGGAAGGGACTGTGAGCATTTTGGAGCGTTATGGTGATGCGAGCTTTTCTTTGGACCAGGGAAGTGAAGATCATAGGGCAGGGTTGGGTCAGATGTGGACTGCTTTGGCATCACAAAACTTGCTCTGGGATCTTTACATTTATTCCTCTTAAGAATCTTTTCAGGATTAGATGAAAGGGAAGCAGGAACTTCAATTCCAAGAAAACGCATCTGGGGAAATTAATTAACAACCATAATCAAAAGAAAAAAACTATGGGATAATATGGAACACCCCTGAAAGCGTCGCGCCCGAACAAGAATAACGGATATGAAAACCCCACGAGAGAAATAACCGATCTGCAAACCACGAAATTTTGGGTTAACTTATAAGCTCTTAACAGCGCATATAAACATTGATTTCAGAAACAATATGCACGTGTATGGACACTACAGGTCTTCATGAAAAAGATGTAGTTAGCTGAAATTGAAAAACTTCATTCGTTGACGGCTGGGTAACGTCTAAAGTCTACCGAAAAATGACGCGTATGCAGATCGGTTATTTCACTCGTGGGGTTTTCAGATCCGTTATTCTTGTTCGGGGGCGACGAAAGACTATTTGTGGCAGAACAACTAGTGATTAGCATTGCTATATCAAACATACCTTGTTGCGGATTACTTTTAGTTCATTTCTCATCCCTTGAATAATGCTATCCTTGAAGTTAGTTTGCATCTTTGCTTCTTTCACTTGTTCTTCTAGATCATGCATTTCTCTCCTCAGCTCTAAAATTTGATCATGTTTATCAGCAACTTCTGTGGTAAGTGCAGCTTTAGTCTCATAATTTTTCTGGAGAAAGAACAATCACAGGTTTACATATGGTCCAAGCACCCTCGGGACGAAATCTAGAAAATTGTACAAAATTCCCAAAAATGCTTACTTTTTCCAAATCTTTAACAGCAGATGCCAGAATCTGAACTTGTTTAGTGGCCTCAGATAACTGTTGACGGGTTGTCACGAGGTCTTTGCTGAGTGTGATCATGGAAGGGTCTGTGGTGGTTTGGGTTTCAACTTCTACATCATTATTCAGTGGAACTTTTGGTAGCACAAGCTTACCAGCCAAATGATCCCTTTCAATTTTTAAAATATCATAATTAGACTCCAACTCTCTTACTCTTGAGATAAGAGCAGTGACTTGCTGTTGTTGCTGTTTTAACCTTTCCTCAATCCATGGTGATACACCATCCTGCAAACATGATAACTACTGTGACTGCAATCAATACAATACAATACAAATATAGAGAACAAAGAGAAAATTCATGTGGCTTACTACAAATTGACTACTGTCAACTTCTTTGGATTGCAAATTTACACAAACAGTTCCATGACTTGTTGCCAATTCCTGCATTGACTTCTGCTCTGCTTCAACAGCTTGTTTCACCTTAACACGGAAATCAGCATTCACTTATTTAGATTCAAACACATTGAATAAAAAATAAAATGTGATGATGAAGTTGAATAAATACAAACCTGCTTAGATGTCAGGGTGAAAATATCCTGCATTTCTTCAATACGCTCAAGTAAATTATGGATCTCTGCATCCTTTTCAGCCAGTTGTGTTTTGAGGTTGTCCATGTCCCTTTGACCACTCTGGATCGATGAAGAAAAATAAAATAATACAATGATTTTACTGAAATGAAAACCTCCAAATTTATACTCAAAAAATCAGTTGGTTCTCTCAAATTTTAATTTATTGAACAAAAATTTGATAGGACACGTAAACACTACCAAAATGTTTAATTAAAAGGGGTGACAAATAATGAGAGAGACTTAAAAAGTGCAGTAATTATAGCCTATGTCTTGAGACAATTGTCTGCTTCTAGGTCAAGCAGTGAAACTGTTATTATACAATTATAGCTGAGTACCTTCTGATCAGTAGCACTTTCAGCAGGAGCTTGTTGCATTGATCTGTCACAAGAAGAAATAGCAAACATTAAGTAATAAAGTTGCAAAAAGAAAAATCTAATAAATGAATGAATGGGGGACACACACAGGATAGAACTTACAATGATTCTATAGTGAGAGGTTTGCAGGGGTAGGGTTCATGGAAGGTGGTTAGTGTTTCTACATTTGTGTCTGACTGAGCTACGTTCTCAAGGGAATCAGAATAATCACAGGAAACTGTGTCATCAATCGAACATTTTATATTGTTAGTCTTCTCTGAGAGAGAAGTTATCAGAGGAACATGCACTGGTGAAGTTTGAAGGTAGGGCAGGTCTATTTGTTCTTGAACAGATAACTTATCAGTGCCTATGGTGTGTAACTCTTGTGAACAGTCTTGCTGACAGAGTGAAACACAATGATTAGCAGTTTTTAAAACATTATTTATGGCCTTTTCAGATGGCTCATCTAAAACTGGAACTGCACATATAATTATTCTTTGATGATCAACGGGAACTGGAAAACAAGTCTGGTACACTTTTTCTACACTTCCTTGAGTGCATGGATCAAAGTGAACACTTGTAGGCACTTCAAACGTCTGTTTTCTAGTGTCACCATGTGCATTACATAGAACAGGATTCATAGGAATACTTTTGGACACTTCAGGAACTTCCTTAATTTTGATATCTTGATCATTTCCATCCCCCATACAAAGAGCATAGGGATTGACAGAATCATGCTCAGTTTGAGTAGATACATCCAAAGAGATAATACTATTTTGCAGCTCTGTGCATTTAGGTAAAGCTTCTTTAAGGAGTGACATTTTTAAATGACTAGGGGTATGATTATTTTCTACTTCATGGAGGGGAATTCTGTGGGGAGAGTAGGTTTGATGGACACATTTTCAGGGTAGATTAGATTATAACAAACAGGCAAAATTACCGTTTTGGTGATGTTGACATCAATTGACTTTTGCTTATTGTATGCAACTTCACACTATCCACAGACCAAAAGCCTTGTTCTTTTGCTTGGTTAATGATGTCAAGTAAGCTTGAAACATCATTTTGAAGAAGCTGGACCTGTTGTCTAAGGTTGACTTCAACTTGGTTTTTCTGAAAATTAAGATTTTACATTTTTAAATTGATAGTTGCATGACATGGATACTAGTAAAGCAATGATGCAGATGTGCAGTAATACATTAGTTTTGAAATAAAGTTACCTCTCTTTTAGCAAGATGTTCATTACGTTTAATAACCAAACTGGTTTTTTGGAGTTGATCATGCATTAAGTCAACTCTTTTGAGTAATTCCCTTTCCAATTCTTCAACAGTGTGAACAAGCATAGTATTCTGCTCAGTAAGATCATGAACCCATGATTTAAGGGTGTGCATGGCAAGCTAAAAGAAAGACACCAGGACGAAACTTTATAGTTAATACGTTTTCATGTAGATGAGTTCTGTATATACAGATGCGTATTAGGTTAAAAAAATCTCTGCAGAACAAGATCCAGTTCCAGTATTAACTAGTCTAAAGTAGATGTTAGATTACAAAATAACAGTATTCAAAAACATGAAATTTTAAACGCTGAAGAAGTGCAGAAATTTTCTAGGTCACCATATCCAAATTTAGATCAGAACATCTTAACATTTTCACTTCCGTGTCAACATGCAAACTAACGATGGTAAAGTATTTTAATTACCTCATTATCTCCATCAAGCCTCTTCAACCGTTCAGCATATACCCTCTGAAACTGTTCTAGTATTCTCAAACTTTCAGTTTCACCACAAATAGCACCATTAGGGTCTGTTACTTTGCAGGAAGCTTCATTAACCCCTTTCGAATCTGGGAAATGGACACTTGTAGGCACGCTCCCACTCATTGTAGATGGAGGTGGAGGTTCAAACTACACCAAAATGTTTTCAATGAGAAAGATTTTTTTGCACATTGTCTTCAAAAGACGTGTGTTGACATTTTGACTAGAAGATGTTCTCGCCGCTGTCAGAACTCTTCTGTCTGTTGACATGCACAGCCTACTCTTAAAATGGGATGTGCAACTTCCTTGAGGATGGTACACCAACGCAACCTTCCAAAACCCAACTCAAATCTAACACACTGGATCTTAGAAAGACTTTAAATACAATTCACTTCTACCTTCATTTAATAAAATAAAATGAAAAATAAAAAGTAATGGATTGATCTCATTTAAAAAGTTTGTACTGTTTACTTCTAATTCTTTCTATGTTGGCAACATTTCTCCCCTGCAAAGCAGAAGCAGAAGCTTGTGATGTCACCTATCTCAAACTCAAACAATCACTGACATTTGTGAAAGAAAATCAGAATATACCCTATTTATGGTACATGCACCAAGCCACAGTACATCTTATTATAATTTAAGGCTAGTTCCTTGAAAACGTCACTCCAACATGGAAGCGCGAGAAAGACCAGAACATCTACTTGCCTTAAAAGGTTAGTGTTCTTTGAATGAGTTGTCTTGTCAAGTAACTGGAAAACATTTGAGATAGTTATCAATTACACTGTATTTTAAAACATAATTCTGACATTTTTTCAAAACTGTACAAATGGTCTAACTTTCGTTGTTTTCTTTGAAACAGTTATGCGCTTGACGCGACCCACTCTGAGCTGTCCCGTAATTGTTACATCTGATTCGAAAGACCTTCCAGGCAATTTACTAAACAGTGATTTGAAAAATGATGTTACTTCAGTATCTGGTGTTGAAACTCTCACAGCGGGACAATTCCTACAACTTCCTCAGAGTTTTGGGTAAGCGCTAACAATATTTTCTAGCAATGTACACATGCGCAACTGTAAAATCTCAAATCTCTCATTTCCTCTAGGACTATTTATCTGGGAGAAACCTTTTCCAGCTATATATGTGTACATAATGATAGCAAAGAAATAGCCAAAGACGTGACCGTAAAGGTAAAGTTTTTTTCTTCTAATTAACATTTATCAATTATTTTTTTTTATGCTTGGTTGGTGACTAATATTAAATTTTATCTTTTAAGATTGATTTACAGACAAACTCTCAGCGTATTGCACTGTCAGGTCATTCTGTTGATCCATCAGAATTGAAGCCTGATGAGTCTATTGATCATGTGATACATCACGAAGTCAAAGAAGTTGGCACTCACATGTGAGATTAAATACAATATTAATTCAATCTGTGGTTATTGATTTAAATTTTATATTTTTACATCCATATTTACTTCTAAAATTTCAGACTAGTATGTGAAATCACATACACAACTCCTGATCAGAAATCCATGTCCTATCGTAAATTCTACCGCTTTCAAGTTCTAAAGCCACTGGATGTCAAAACTAAGTTTTATAATGCTGAGGTAAGTCATCCGTTATATTTTTGCATGAGATGGTTTAATGAAGTGCTTTACTTTTGTTATAGTTAGGTAAGAAATAACATTTTGCAAACTGGTTGTGGAGCTTTACTGCTGTATCAAATTACATCCCCAGAAGTAACTGTATAGAAATAACTGATTTTATTAACTTCTCTAATAATTTTTGTCTGAAATGCGTACTACTTTGGAAGAAGGATTTGGTGAAAATGTCCAGTCAAGTATGCAAACTTAACATTACTCAATCAACAGAGTGGCCTGATTTACTTGTGTGCAGCACAACAATTTGGTTAAAAATGCTTTGAAGGTTTTAGCGCTTTTAAGTATTCCAAAGAACACCTGTTCTGTACATTGTTGTTTTCTTTGGCAGAAACTACAGTATTTTAGTTTCAATTCATTCATAATGATTTATTAGACTGATAAGTGCATGTTTTTTGGTCCTTTTTTTTACCTCTTCTAATCCTCTACCTCAGTCTGCTGTTTCACTCACAAGTAAGAACCCAGTTCGTATAATAGTTTGCTTGCATGTATTTTGTGTTGCATGGTGCATGACCTCACAAACATCTTGGTGTTCTTCTTGTATCAGGAATTCATTGTAAGTAAAAAAATCATTTTCTTTGGCGGTATGGGTGAGAATTTTATAATTAGCAGCAGCATGGAATTTAATTAAGTGGTGTGTCATGTTGTTTTCTTAGATGAGGTTTTCTTATTTCTACATAAAATTTGTGTGTATGCCTTCTAAAAATTGTGCTATCTTCTCTTTTCAGTCTGATGAGGTCTATCTTGAGGCACAGGTTCAAAATATCACAGTTGGACCAATTTGCTTAGAAAAAGTTGCTCTGGAATCCTCCCATCTTTTTACTGGTGAGTACTTTTTCTTTCCCCTGGACAATGGCTAGATTTTATTTCAGTATAATCTTGTGTTATATTTACAATCTTCATTTTGTAGTGTCTGCCCTGAATACATCTGCTAATGGAGAATCAGTTTTTGGAAAAGTGAATGTACTTCAATCTCAGTCGAGTAGGCAATTCTTGTATTGCCTAGCCCCACAACCAAGCCTAACAGTTGATTGTCGACTCCTCAGTGGTGCAACAAATATAGGAAAATTAGATATGGTGTGGCGGTCAAATTTGGGAGAAAGAGGTCGTCTTCAGACCAGCCAACTTCAACGCATGGTTTGTGGATGTCCACTATTTAGTCATGAACGGTTGAACAGGAGACAGAAATGAAACAATTATGCGACTCATTCTTGTTTATAATTCCTAGGCACCTGATTATCGTGATATCCGTCTCTCAGTTCAAGAAGTACCAAATATAGTTATTCTAGAAGAGGCATTTTCCTTTGCATGCAAAATAATAAATACATGGTAATTTATATTAACAAAATGATACACTCATTAAGTAGTAACTTGTACCTTGATTAAAAAAAATTATCCCTTCTTAGCGACCGTGTGCTAGATATGACACTCTGGCTTGAAGATGGAACTACTTCAAATTCTGGCCTTATGTGGAGTGGAGTTTCTGGTCGGCCACTGAGTAGACTGGAACCTGGGGCATCTACTTTACTAAACCTTTGCTTAATTCCTCTTGCAGCAGGGCTCCAGGTGAAATAGTTAAACACGCCTTGCTTATTATCCATTACCTGCTATGTTCTTTCATTACATTTTTTTTTTTTTTTTTTTTTTTTTTTTTTGGTGACAGATTATTTCAGGCGTCAGGCTCACAGATGCAGCTTTGAAGAGGACATATGACTTTGATGATTTAGCTCAAGTATTTGTTATGCAAAAGAGTTGACGTACATCTTAATTCAACTCAAAAATAGATATGTCAAACAGTCCATTAATATGTCAGTAAGGGAACATTAATGATAATAATAAGGTTTCAATTTCTTCAACATCTTTCTACTTAGTCTACAAAACAAGACAGAGATGTTTCAGTATTAGAATATAAAATTCCAGAGATGGTTGTGCAGATATCCTAAAGTATTGAACTTTGTGTTGTTTTTTTCTAGATCTTTGGTGAATTGTTATATATTTGTTTCACATTAAAAGTTATCTTTATTTTGAATAGTTCATTTATCCATTATGTTCCTCATTTCAAGAAATTGAGATCACAGACAATACATTTGACAATGGTCAATTGAATACAAAATGGTCTATGGACTGGTTTTCCTTTACTCACCAGTAGAGAGCATCTGAATCCATAGTCGTAAACACCCTACCCCACTTGTCGGTTCATTAATTCTTGATGTTGGACAAGAGACCAGTAGTATCCTTTCTTTTTCTGTAGCTCCTCATGAGTACCCATCTTGAAGAAAGTAAACAGTAATCAGTGATTAGAAAGAAACAAAGGAAATGCAAACAGGCTGATCTATATCCATACCTCCACTATGACACCCTTCTGAAGAACAACAATTTGATCGGCATTTTTAACAGTGCTAAGACGGTGGGCAATGACAAGAACAGTACGACCCTTAGCAGCAATTTCGAGGGCCTTCTGTACTGTTTTCTCAGACTGCGCATCCAAGGCACTGAAACATAGCGAAAGTTGAGAATGGTAAGCCACCGTTAAAGAAGCATTTGTCTACGCCTGAGATAAAAAAAATACTCACCTGGTTGCCTCATCCAATATCAGAATAGACGGGTTCTTCAGAAGTGCTCGGGCAATAGCTATGCGTTGCTTCTGCCCACCAGAAACAGTAACACCCTTTTCACCCACAACAGTATCATAGCCCTCTGGGAACGACTGAATAAATTCATCGGCTTGTGCTAGTTTAGCAACAGCAACAACCTAATAAGACAGAGAAATATAATTTGTATAATTTAAGGTGAATATTCATGAATTATGAGCATAATTTGAAGGAAAACCCAATACCTCCTCATCAGTGGCTGATGGCTTGGAGTACCGTATGTTTTCCTTTATACTTGTGGCAAATAACACTGGTTCTTGATTAATGAACCCAATGACTCGACTTCTCAACCATGTTGGATCCAGTTTAGATAGGTCATGTCCCCCTAAAGTAACTGTTCCTGAATCAGCTTCATACATTCTATAAGAGAATTTATTATTATCATTTCATAAATTTCATATCACGTTCAGTTTCTATTTTTATTGGTTTACCTTGCTAATAGAGCTGCTACTGTTGATTTTCCATTGCCTGATGACCCAACAATTGCTACAGTACTTCCAGCAGGAATGCTAAGGTTGAAGTTCTTCAATATTTGCTAAAACAATGGTGGCAGGCCAATTTTTTATTATTTCTGTAGTTTCAGTGATACTAATGAGCCATGCTGCATTCAGCAGCATTAAAATTCATAGAAGGGTTTAAATTACCTGATCTGGTCTAGTTGGATAAGAAAATGTTACATCTTCAAATTTGACATGAGGTTGAAGAGTATGGTAAGGAATGACCTCACCGCCAATTAGGGGCACTTTAGGTTTGCGGTTGATGTACTGTACAAAAGAGATAGATATAGTCTGAAAATTTTCAAATATGAGATTACATTATAGTGAGTTTTGTACAAGCTCACCTCAAAAACTGATGCCCCTGCCCCAAGGCCCTTTAAGACCTCACCATAAAGAAGAGAAACTTGAGCAAGTGATCTTTGCACAGTTTGAGCAGCAACAAGAAAAGACATTACATCACCAGCAGACATTTCATTGACAGACATTAGATATCCACCCATGCATAATGTCGTTAGAACCATACCATTTAAGAATAAATTTGTGCCAGCCTGTAAAATTTCAATTTTGTTCAAGGTAAAATTCAATTATAGCACCTGTAATCCAGAACAATTTAAAGTCATTCATTACCTAATTTACCTGAAATAATCCTATGCCCCATCCAAGCTGTTCATTAAGCTCTTGTGCTTTCTTGGATTCTTCTCTTAGTAGTTCACACTCTTTGTCTTCCATACCAAAAGCTCTCACTGTTCGAATATTGCTTAAAGCTTCCTCGGCAACTGTCGATATTCTCCCAACCTGAGCATTGACGATAAAAGCAATATTACTTTTTGTACAGCCAAAAGCAAAAATAAAATAATTTAAAAATTCACAACTGATCTAGATTTTTTTCACCTGAGCTGAAGCTCTGGCTGACAGTTTCCTTAAAAGAGAGCCAATGTAAGTTCCAAATATTATCACAGATGGCACCAGGACCATGATCATTCCCGTCATCTGAGGCGATACAGAAATAAGAGCGCCGGCACATCCAATTATCTACAAAAAATAATAAAAAAGATTGGAAAACCTGAAGGTACAATAAATTATCTTCACATTATCCTTTTACCTGAGTGCCACTTCTTAGACCCTGAGATACACAATGTTTGAAAGCACTTTTGAAGTTTTGGACATCAGTTGTCAATCTAGACAAAATAAAAGAAAAGAAAAGTAAAAAAAGTTGCATAAAACAAATGAAACTTTGGTCAACGAACTTATGAGCTAAATTTGCACGACCAAATCAAACCTGTTCATCAGTTCCCCTGTTCTTTCTTCATCAAAAAACGAGAGATCTTGACTCATGAGAGAAGCAAATAATTGGTTCTTCATTTCAAAAGCAACTCTTTCCCCAACACCAGATAGGAGAGATATATATACAAATGTAAAAACTGACTGCACACAAAAGCAAAAAATTAAATAATTTTTCATCACTTAAAATGAAATGATATATGATAACTATAAAACTTACTTGGGCAACAAAGTAAGATACTAAACGCAGACCTGGACTAAGAATCTGTTCAGAAAATGACTTCTCACTTTCTGAGGAAATCTTACTAATTATATTAACTAGTCCGCCCAATATTAGCGGAATCTTAATATTAATTAAAGCAACAACCAGGGCCGCCTGAAGAAAATTTCCGTAAGTAAATGACACAAGTTGTAAAATGGTACAGAATATTGCAGAAAGCTTTCAGCACTTACAGCAATTGCAGCTGCTAATGTCCAAATATCTGGCTTGAGCATGGTCCAAAACTTGGGCCAGTCAAATTTTGATTTTTCAGTGTTAGTGTGTCTTAAGCCCGTGAGTCGTCCTGTAGTTTTGTGTTGAGCTTCACAAAAAGCAATGGTCGGCAAGGCTCCAAAGAAGCCCAACAATCCAGTACTAAATAAACCAGTGCTTCTCGTGAGCCAGGAGCATTGCAATAAATTTACCTAAACAAATAAATAGGGCACTGTTGACAGATTCCAAACGAGCAGGTAGTTGGGAGAAATTTGTTGTCAGAAGATAATTGATTGCTAACCTTCACATTGTTTTTCTGATGAACATTATTGCTGAAGGACCTAATAAATGAAGTGTTTGACGATTTGATATTAAATTGGGGTGGACTCCTGAATGAAAGTTGTGATCTGCAAAGAAAATAACGTGACTGACAGGCTATTTCATCAAAGGAAAACAATGATAGAAAAATTATTCAAAAATACATACCGTATTTGAAAACTAATGCCCGATCTATCACATGTTTTGAATAATCTCAGCAACATTTTGCTGTTTTAATAACCTTGGAATAAAGAAGACTCTATACCTGAAAAATGTTTGAAATGAAAACAGGTGACAACAGCTTTAAGAAAATAAATATTTACGTGCAAATAAATTTTGATTAACAAAGAATAAGGTTAAGACAGCAATGAGTGTAAATTATGTCAGAATTCATGGTACATGGGAAATGACAGTCCCAAAAGAGGGTAAATTTGAAAGACAGAAAGGTAAATGGTGAATGATTACAACACACAAAAGAAAATCTATTTTACTTACGTGTAACCTTCACCACTGTTTCGTGATTTCCCTCTCTACATTTGTCGGCTCCACGATCCATGTGTCGTCTGCTGTAGTCGTGACGTCATGAGTCACGATGATTCGAAATCTTCGAAGTGTGGTCGGTCAGTGAAGGTCGGATCAACCAAATGGAACGTACCCACAAGAGACAAGCCTTGGCGGGAGAAAAGATCCACCACGCGATTGAGTGCCACTAGTAAGTGCTACAGTGCAACGGAACCGGACTAACACTACTGTAAAGAAAGCGAGAAGAGCATTATTAATCCATAATTTCTCCGTTATCGTGTTCCTGTTATGGACTGGATTCACTGCAATGGATGCTTCATCCAACCCAGAACAAACTCAAACCCACCGAAGTTTTTACTGACCTCTTGTGGCCATATCTTTTGTGAACGATGCAGCCAGACAGGTAGACCACGAAAATTCTAACCGAGTCCATGTGCGGTTTTCATGTTGAATTCTGCCTTTCAAGTAAATGCATCCTTTTAACAGAAACCACCAACAAGTGCCGCGTGTGTGAAGCGCAGTGCACAACCACCCTGTTATCTAATCAGGTTAGAGTCGCATGTAAGCTACATCCCTTGGAGAGAGAGTCGCCCTGTCAACGACTAACCTTCCTTTTACAGCTGCGAGAAGAGGTGCGTGATTATTTTGGCGACCCCGAATCGCTCCTGTCCAAAGTTGTAAAGGTAGTCCAATATCAGAAGAGTCATCGCGAACGACTTTTGGGGTACCTACGACGTTTGGTAGGCCTAAGTATGCATGGAGTGGTGGCCTAACGACCATATTTCAGCAGCATTCAAAGCTAGTTTTCTCCTGCTGTGTTGTGTCGGCAGATCCCCAAGTACGACTCCGCCAAACGTGAAATACAGAAGCTGCACGATGAGAATAAAACTCTCCGGAAGAAGGTCCATGTACAGCAACAGTTGAGTATTTACGGCTTTTACTTTGCTGTTTGAAGTTAACTGAAATTAGGTGCTCCCACCCGGGCCGAGTAGAACATCCACGGGGCGCTGGCAGTGAGTCTGGGTTCGCCAGAGGAAGGTGACGGCTTTTCCTCCTCCGGTTTCCAGGGAGATTGCGTGGTACAAGCTCCAGCGGGACCGCCTTCGTGCCTCGCGGCCGCCGATCTCCACGCCGGGCAGCCTGGCGCCCAGCTCGCCCTTCCCCGGGATGCCGTCCTCCGACCCGCACCGGGGCGGGCTGCAGCACATGAGGGTAGGCCGCAAGGACTGGGTAGGGGAGAGCGGCCAGGAGCAGGGCACACTTTTCTCACCCAATGTCGTCATGTTGCAGAACTCCGGCCTGGGGAACTCGCGGATCTCCATGGGCTTCACCAGCACGCCGCGCCAGGACGTCCCATCCCCCCTGTCGGTGTCCTCGATGCCGGCGAACACGCCGTTCAACCCCGGCCAGTACAGGTAGGTGCACGCCCAGCGCCCAGCAGGACAGACGAGTCTCTGCTCGCCAGCCCCACTTGGTTCTACTTCACACCCCTCTTCTCCTTGGTCCACAGGAGCCAGCACTTCAACACCCCCGAGAGCACCCCCGGCGGATCGTCCTTCGTGCCGCCCGAGAGTCCCACGGACAGCATCTACCGCTCCTCCTCGTAAGACCCAACTGCTCGTTTAATACTGCTCGGCCGAATTCCGGCGTGGGGTAGAACACAAACCTTATACGGTCTTATGGCGGGGTACTTTTTCCACGGCTCGATCAATTCGAGGCACGACTCGTTACAGTTTACAGGGTAAACGCACCTTCATGTCGCTCTTGACATGATCTCTTGGAGTGGAATAAATGGTTTGTGTAAAGGGGGGGGGGGGGACAAAGCACCTGGTGGCTAGGCAAAGGGTGGTTTTAATCCATCCGATGAAATAGGCAAAACGCATAGCCTGGCCCTATCGTCAACGATAGTCGTGGAAGAAGTACTCCACCCCCAATCCCGCGCCCCGACACTAACGTAGTGTAGCATTGTCCTTCGATGTAGTATGTCTAACGAACCCTTGTTTGCACAACCCCTGTACAGACAACAAGCTCGCAGACAGCACCAACAGCACTCCCCGCCGTCCCGGGGAACTCCGACGGACGCGCTCAAGATTCTCTCCCTGGCTTACAAGAACGCCAACAAATAATTGTGTGTAGCTTTTCACCAACTAACATCAAACTTGTATTTTTGTTGAGAGTTCTTTAAGTGGGCAGGACCTTTTTAATAAGTTAAATTCAGCCACAATTCTTTTTTAAATCTCTTTTTTTTTCTTCTTCTCAAAATGTTAATTATATCTCAATCATTTAAGGTATTTTAGTGGATACTAATGAAATATATTTTACGAGTTTATTGAATTTCGCTCTGAAAGGTGTTAGATTCCGCGGAAGGCTGAGCAGGCAATCAATCACGCTATACAGCTCCTGAACCCAACAATGTAGCAAATAAGGTCCGTCGAAAGTGAATCTTTTCCCCTCACAACCCGTTCTGTCTCACCGGGCTACTGAATCGTGAGGTAATTGCGCGGTGTGGAGGGGGCGGGGGGCAGGCGCAGGGGGCGCTACGCCGGCTCTGACCACACACCATGGGAACACGGAGGGGAGGAGAGCGAGAGTCTCTGGCCTGGCACTAGGCCTACTACGGTGGGCAGAGCGAGAGAGAGTTGGACACATCGAACATCATACACGGTGCGGAGCATTTCTTGGAGAAAAGGGGAGGAGGTGGGGGGGGGGGGCGCCAAGGTGTTACCCTCCCGCCACCGGGCCGCCAGGCGCGCCGGCACACCGGGACCGGGCGGGCCCCCGCCGCCGGTTAGCGGTACGGGTGCTCAGTCAGTACCCACGCCGACTGGTTCCGACGCGGGTGCTTCCTGGGCAGCCTGGCGCCGCGTGACTCTCTGCCGCCTCTGCCGCCCATGTGAACGCTGCGGGGCCGCCCCTGACCGGACTGTACGCCGCAGCGTCGCGCTCCTCCAGTAGTGTGGCGCCTCGCGCACCAGCTCACCTGGCCGCCATGAGGAAGATCATGGCCTCGCTCTTCAGGAGCAGCAGCAAGAGGGTGAGTAGCGAACTACCGGGGGAGGGAAGTCCAGCAGCCTTTCGAACTCGCATTCGGTCGAGGGGGCAATAACTCCCTTTTGAAGTGTACACATGATTCCCGAAATTTTTGATTCCCGGTGATTCCCGTCCGCTTATAATTATTACATAGGTTTTTCGGGGGGTTTTAGTGGTATAAAACGCTTATTTCGACTGATTTGTACTTATTTCTCTAGGTTCCCGCTTATTCTAAGCGATTTCTATTGATTCTGATCAATTTTTATCCTGATGATTCCCAGACAGGTAGGTGTACACATGATTCCCGGAGTTATTGCCCCCTCGCATTCGGTATACGTGCTGTAGTAGACTGCGACTTGTCCTGGACATGAATGACCGAAGGTTTTTCTGTCTTTCTGAATGGGATTGGAGAATATGGTTTGCAGGAAATAAGGGCTTAATTAAATGCGTCCTTTTTCCCCCGATGATAATACCTGCAGTTATCGGGCGTTGGCCATCGAAGGCGCGTGGTCGTTCTGCGGCTGCGATGTGTCCTCTGCCACCACCGGAGGGGTCCTTCATTTTAAATTGAAGCGTGCACCAACTTTTCTGTTATTGTCAATTTTTTCTTATTTTTTTCCCTTTGTTTTTTT